AATGCAAACTGCACACCGACACCCACTTAATAATTAAAGCCTCGTATTGATTGTGGAATTACAATGCTTGTGTTGAGGGACATTAGTCAGTGCCGCTGATGATAATAACACTGCTGATTCCCTCCTGTAAAATTGGCTTTAATTCATCGGGTGAATGGAGATCAAGGTAAGGAAATGAAAGGATGCAGGGAGGGATTTTAAAGAAAGACTGAAAGTCAGAGAGACTGAAAATGAGTCTTGAGTAAAACCAGAAAAAAATAAAAAAAACATGAGACGGAAGAAGAGAGACAGAGCAAAATAGCAGATGGCTTTACCACAAATCGAACATCTAATTCATTCATACACATTTCATATTTGAAGTGTTTAAAGTGAATTACAGAAACACAACCAATCTGTCATTTTGAACCTAGTTTAGTCTACAATGACTAATAAGGAGGATGATGTTGCGCTATGTGGTAGTTTATGGATGGAAGTTCAGTTTTAGATGCTATTTATTTGATCATAGGGCTGGACAATAAAATAAAACCTGTACATACATATTTTACATACATAATATAATTTATTTTCAACAACGATATAACAAATGTTCAATAAATATTAAATAAATGTTCATACACAAATTAGGACTTAATTTTCCTTATTAAGATGTTTATTCTGTAGACTGAAAAACACAATGAGCAAAAATCAGGCTTTAAACTTGAAAGAAAAACTATTTGATACTTATTGTGATAATTATCAATATCGAAAGATATGAAACTTATCGTGTTTTTTCCCCATTTTTGCCCATATCATCCAGCCCTATTTAATCAAATTAAATATTGCTGTTTAGAACTAAACTAAACATTTAATTGTAATTTTTACAGTATATTAAAAAAATTGTTGTCAAGTTACCAAAGAAATTAACATAAATATAGCCCAACAATGCCAGATACTACTGACTGATAATAGTTCAGTTTATGTTAATTTCTACCTTGCTGTTAAGCTCCAGTATGAAACCTCTTCTTGTTGGCGAAATATAAATATTGGTGTACACAAACCACAGATCAATGGTAATGTCGAGTTGTAGGAACATGTACTGTAAACTGAACATGTACTACGTGTTTTCAAAGATGTTCAGTTTACCAGTATTATTGCTGCAGAAGCTGGTGTTCATTTACTACATTTAATGGTACAGAGGGCATCCCACTGCGGTAAACATAATGTACAGTATGCCATACACACATTCAAATAAAGAAATTAGTATCACCATACATGTAACAGCCATGTGCAGACTACCTACATTTGATGCTTTAAAACACATACTAAACAACTAGATATCAACATGTAATCTGTGTTTTTGTTGTTATTAATCTATTTTTAAGATGTGAGTGTACCTGTTCTCATAGCCATTTACAGCATTTGTTTATGCCTGCACCACATTATGAAGTGAATACAGTATATAATGAACCTATAGTAAAATCTAAACATTTGAATAGGAGAAAACATGACAAAGTCTGGGTCATGACAGGTTCACCATGATGCGACGATTCCCATATTAGCTTACATTAATCATAACTACTTTAGCTTTAAGGTAATGTTAACAAATGTGGTCTTGAAGGTATGCTGTCAGGGCATTGTACCAGATGGAACTGGTGTTCAGTGTAAGAATTCCTTAGAAGAGCATGTCACAAAAATTTACTTTGGTAGAGTACTATTTAAAAGTCTAGACTTTAAAATACCAATTTCAAAATGTCTAAGCACATCTGATATGAACTATAACAGGCATTCACAGATGGTCTTAACTTTATGACGGTATGCAATGTCATTCTGAAACATTATTCTGTATCTATTCTGACAATGATTGCTTAATTTGACTTTCTCTAAAACACTTCTGAACTAATGCATGTCTATCTTACCTAGTCATTGTTACTTATGCAGAATACAAAAAGCCCTATTCATCAGTCATTCACAATATCTTGGATGACTGATCAGATTTTGGCAAAACTCTGGATAACAATGCATTTCATAGCTGTTTAAGCTGTTTCATAGCTTTAAAGTGATAAGCACTCAACACTTCACACTTGCTACAGGAGTAGTGCATGCAATCAAATCTAAAATCTAATGTAAACGCCTCCTGGAAAATGACTTTAACCCTTTAGTAAATCAACCAGTTACAAACATTGTTAAACAGGTGGAGCATTTTCAGCTGAATGCGCGTTATGAGCATCCTTATTCCATGTGCACTGGTAAAAAACAGTAAAATGATCTGCAATATTAAGTAGAGCAGTTACGCTAATGTGTAACATAGTTTTAAATGGTCATTTGTTATCTAAAAGTTCTATTCTACTTTACTGAATGTGGATGGTGCTAATGATTTAGCATGAGCATTTAGCACAGTTTTAGTTTTAATTAACACCACCAGAGAGAAAACAGCAAATACTGTAATTTGGTTACCTTTGACTTTTTCCACACACTGACATTATTATACAAGTTCTGAACTCTGCTGTCTAAAATAGAAATGAGCTGACCTTGCTGTTACAGTAATAAACAAGAGACACACTGAATCTTTTCCAAAGCACACCTGGCTGTCCCATGATACACTGGTTTTTTACACAAGTGGTTGTGTTTCTATGTGTATCCAGTGTGACTTTTAAACGTCTAGACATTTTTCCATCTCAGTGCACCTTCTCCAAGGAGACTGAGTCTACTCAGTACTCAGAGAGAGTGTCCGAGTCCAGATGTTACATGCAAAAATGCATGACATACAGCGTTTGCATACACATGGTTTTGATACGTAACGTGAGTTTGCATGTATGTGGTTGTAATGGATGGGAAAAGTCAAAAGGAAAGAAATGCAAAGAGAATGAGCTTAAGATAAAGTGAATGTGTTTCTGTGTGTGTGTGCTGTCAGTTCCCTAATGAAAACATGGCATCACCCCAAAGATGTGGTTTCTCTGAAGTTGACAGCCAGCTCTTACAGGATGCTGCTCCTCTAGAAAGGCTAAATAAAAAAAGATTCCCCCAGTAACTGTACATCATTTATCATCATCACCTTTATTTAACGCCAGTAGGTTGACTGTGAGTGCTCGGAGGGCTTGGAGCCAGAGCTAAGAAGTTTTTGGTGAACAATATAAGAAAGGCAATGCTGGGCCCTTGGACCTAATCCCTAATAGTTGTAAATATGTTTGATAATGTATGATAATGTTGTCACATTAACACACAAATGATGAGGTACTATACAGTGATTAATTGATATAATCATGATATTTTATTTGAAATATACTGTAGATTGGCTCCAATCCCATGACTTACTCTCATTTTGGCAAAAAAAAAACCTGGCTCATACATTTGCATTCAGTGTGACAAATAGCTCCATGTCCTGCAAAACTATAAACAAATTTTTATAGCTTCAGTTGCTGCCTCATTGAAGTGCACTTTGGCAGTAGTAGCATTTGAGCCTTTAGGTCACAAATGTGTTTTTGACGCGTTAAGTCTAGTTAACACTAAACAATTTTAATCCAGATTTGCGGGTCGGTGAGCGCGGTGACCGTCGGGCTGTGATTAGGGGTAAATCAGCGATCGATCTGTGGTTGCCAGTCGTTATTTGTGATCTACTCAACAACGCATGAAAACGGCTCCCTAATGCATTACTGACACATCGCAGATGCCAGCCAGATAGCTAGCATGCCAAATATCTGGAAGAGTCGGCTGACTCAACATCCACATCCAGCCAATGAGAGAAGGCAGCAGGCGGAACAGGCAACTACTTTTTCACCGCACAACACATTTTACTCACCACCTAGGTTCGCGTCCTTTCCCGTTTCACCTCTGGGCGTTCCTAGAATGTGTCGTGGCAAGGAAAATTGTCCTCCTCTCACTGCCTCTCCACAGGGGTGCCCCAAGGCTTAGTGCTAGGGGCCCTTCTCTTCTCAATTTACTCCACTTCACTGGGGCTGATAATTCGTTCGCATGGCTTCTCTTACCACTGCCACGCAGACAATATGCAACTCTACCTATCCTTCCCACCAGACAACCCCACCCTCTTAGTGGCTCTTCCAGCTTGTGCAGTGAAACCCCTACAAATGGTTCATAACGTGGCAGTGGGTCACTCCATTGAAGCGACGTCCACTGGCTACCCATGGCCTATCTAATCAAATTTAAACCAATAATGCTTGCATACAGAGTGACGCATTTTTGTATTGAGAAACCTATGTGTAGGGTTTAAAAATGTGAGTGTTTTGACGACTCCTAGTGATCGTACAAATAATGACACTGTGGCTGATAACCACTGAAACTGAGAATAAATGGGCTGAAGCACTATCACATAGACTGCCCCAATTTTTACTAGGATTGTGATCAAAGTATCGGAATATTATGAAAGCTGCAATAACCAAATAAAAAATTAGATCCATCTGTTGGCCAGTGGCGAACCTAGAATATTTTCCTAGGGGTAGCCAGATGGGGCCACTGAAAAACCTGGGGTGGCACACTAAAACCAGAAGTCATAACTAAACTCCAGGAATTCTATTATGCAGTATATAGACTAATTGAATACTACATGAACATATGAGTTAAGGAATCACAGACTGATATACTTTGGTTTCTTATTTTACAGTTAATGTTACTAATTGTCTAATGTTGATAGACTAAAACCAGTTCAGTCTGAGTTCCATAAGAATCCTGTTCAATGTGTTATGTATCTGTACGTGTTAGGCAATTAATTGTTGATCAAATAGGCTAGTTGGCCTTTTCCATAAAAAGACAAATACAGATTTTATTTGTGCACTGAGTGTGAGGAACAAAACATTTACTGGAAACAACCCTACTCAAGACATCACAGAGCACTGATATTTTTCTTAGACTAATAACAATTTAATATAAATATACAATATGTGTCTGTATAGTGTTGTATAATTATTTATTAACCATATTATTTCATTAGTTTGGTGTTATTCTTGTTATAAACAACTAGGATAGTTATTCTTGAATTATTATTATTTTTTAAATTCTTTTTAATCACAGATTTGACCAGTGTCATATTTATATAAAAATGCACTGACACAAGTTACAGTACCACAAATAAGCCTACTGTGCCATAAGCAAACAGTAAGCTCAACACCACTGAAGTCAGCAACGATGCACAGAGACAACATTTTAGGGATTCAGACCCTCTCTATAGCCGCTTTCCACAGAGATCCTGCAATCAAAACGGAAAGATTGTCTGCCAACAGCACACAGAGCAGCAAGCCCGCATATTTACATAATAATCCCAGATAATAAAGCAGTATGAAAGGAGCAATATGACAGCAACATTATGACAATCGCAATCCATAGCCTAGTATTAATCGATCCAGCCCAATTTGGCCCATGCAAGGACCAGCAGCAGAGTCAGATTGATAAAAGATGTTTTCACTCACCACAGCAGAGGGCTCACTTGAGGAGAAAGGCAGCGCAGCAGTTTTTCCTCTGGATGACTCTGAAGTTTTTCAGAGAGTCTGCCAACTCATTGTGGCTCCGCAGTGCTGATTAACATTTTAAACATACTTTAATAAACGTTACGATCCGACTGTCACTGACCTCATAGCACCTGTTGGCCAGCAACGTTTACCCATCAAGGTAATGTTAAGCTCAGTTTTTCAGCATTGTCCAGATGTCTCTAGCTGTAATAATGTTTTGCAATCCTCTTAGAAAGATGAAGATGAAAACAGTCAAGGGATGGTCTCTCTCGAAGCCAGAGGTGCTTATCAGTCGCAAGGTGCTGTCAGGGTTACGGTTAATGGTGGTGAGACAGGTTGGAGGACCCAAACGCAGGACGCAAGGCAGAGGAGGTACGGTTCAAAAGGTGATTTATTTAACAAACAAAAAGCGAGCACACTTACATAGTGAGTGGCTGAGCCCAGAAAAAGCCAAATGAGAAACGAAACAAAAATCCAACACAGGTAATCCAAAACACCAAGAGCAGAAAATAGCAAGACAAAACACTGGATGAGACTGGGAGACTGAAGCCACGACTGACAGGGGGGTAACACCAACAATGACCGGACAAAGCCTGAAGAGAAACACCAAACATATATACACCAGGGACTAACGAGCAGGGCGGGAGTACACAGGTGACAGACATGAGGCAGGCAGGCAGAGAGAGAGCAGGGGAAAACAGAGAGACTGACATGCAAAGGGGTAACACACACAATACAGGTTACTGAACACTAAACACAGGCCATATCACAAGATGTAACAGATTAGAAATAAACAAACTAACTCAGAGACCAGCAGAGTAAACTAAAATAATGCAGACAAGGAATCTGAAGTAAATACCAAAACATGAACCAAGGCACAAGACTGGGAACAAAGACAAAGAACTAAAACACAGGACCAAGAGCTAAGGTAAAAGACAAGACATAAACTAGACTAACAAGAGAAACAGGCAAATAGAAGGACACATGAAACAATAGCAAAAAAACTACAACTCATAACAGTCAGTGTGTCAGTGGGACAGGGTCCATACGACGTTAGCTTGGTGTTGCTGTTAGCGATGGTGCTAACCTGTGGCTATTTGCAGACTACTAATAGTTATAGCTTTCTACGCAAAGTACAATACACAAAATTGTTTAGCATTGTGATAAAGCTGTTATAAACTAGCCAGGCTACTAACTGTCGCTGTATATTAATTAAATTACACTGTTCTGTTTTCTGCGGCTGGTTGCTACCTCCAAGAAACAGGCACTTGCTGCAGCAGGCTGACCAGCATAACTCCGGGGCGAGTTCAATCTCAAAATATTTTGCAACGGTTTGCAACATTTTCAGATTGAACAACATGTTTCCTTGCAACGTTGCGCAACTTTGTGCAACGGGCTTTGAGGTATGTTTTCTTCCGTTTAGTGGGCGTGTCTCAGGTGTTACCCAATCAGCTGCAACAAGTTTGTAAACACAACGGTGTTAAAAAGGCAGGAAAATTCTGTGCGCTTGCGTACACAGCAGGATGTTCAGGGAGCCACCGTTTCTGTTGAAAAAACATTTTGCTACGTTTTGTCTGCGCTGAACTCAGCCCCGGTCTGCTCTTCCTGTTAGTCCCGCCCATTAACCAGTCACAGTTTTAGAAACAGGATAGCCATCTACATTGACGAATCAGAGGCCTCTCTTAAAATAAACATAGTCTGTCACACCTCAAGGTCAGAGGCTACCCTCTTAAAGTGACAGAGCCTAATATGACAACACTTGTATGCTGCCAAGCACCTTTTAATTCAAACCCAGGGTTTTCATAATATATACAGTATATTACATTTTATGCATATGCCCCTGGCTCCTGTTGGCCAGAACACATTCCCAAATGAATGCTAACTTTATGTCACATCTGCTTAATGTGCACATAAGCAACTAATATTAAGTTCATCTTATCAACCTGATAGTATGTCAGGATTGTGTTTACAGCTTGTTTCTGTTGCTCTGAAGTGGACAACAAAATAAGAACACTCAAGCTGTATAATGTGATGCTCATATGAAAGGTCAAGCTTATAATATTATGAAATAGTTTACATAAATTAGAAAGGTTTCAGAATTATGAAGGCCATTTACTCACTACTGGACACAATGACTGCACTCACTTGCCAAATAAGTTTCTCACTTGCTACCTTGTGTAGTCCTTCTTGGTCCTGAATTTGACCCATGGTGTTTCTGTCTTGCTCCTAAGTGTAAACTAAAGTTTAGTGTGGAATACCAGAGCGATTAAGAACCACACACCATTATCTCTTAACCACATTCATCTCTTATACTCATCACTGTCATCATTCATTCACCCACTTCATACAATTTGTCATTTCATACTTCATTCACACATTTAGGCGCACTGCCTCACATACAATATATAGATCATATATAGCAAAACCACAAAGCTGCACCTCTCAGCTCCCTGGATGTGGCATCTTTCACTATCACTGACACCTTCAATCACTCAACTATTAACGGCCCTCTATCATTCACACATACCTTCTCTGTGTCATCACTCAAGTATAAGAAGCAGTCAGTCAGTACCACACAGGCTATATAAAAATATAAACATGACAGCATAGAGGTCGACTGGAATAAAGAAGTTCCTGATATTATAACCTGTCAGACGTTTGGGTCGTAGAAAGACAGACAGACAGAAAGACTGTGTGTGGCTATGAAGGATAAAAACAGAGACAGACCCATTGCGAGACTGTGAATGTAACGTACGGAGTGTGTATGCGCATGCATGTGGCACATGTGCGTGTGTCTAGTGGCAAGAAAATCAAAACAGAGCATATGAAACCATTCTGTTTGCCTTTCAGTGAAAAGAAGATGAGTTTATTGATTTTTTTTGACTGTGCCATCTGTCTTCAAAATATAAGGAGCACATGTGCAAGCATGCATGGCCCCACACACACACAAATACACACACACACACACACACACACACTAGAACAGCTTCTGAAAGCGAAAGTCATCAAGTACTATCTTCAGCATAAGGAAGAACAAGGAGTGCTGGAAGTGATGGTATGACCCCCACAGAGCCCTGATCTCAACATTATTGAGTCTGCCTGGGATTACATTAAGAGAGAGAAGCAGCTGAGGCTGCCTAAATCCACAGAAGGACTGTGGGTAGTTATCCAAGATGTTTAGGCTGACCTACCTGCTGAGTTCCTTCAAAAACTATATACGAATATACCTAGAAGAATTGTCGTTCACACCAAATATTGATTTGATTTAGATTTTTCTTATATTCATTAACTTTGCATTTTCTTAATTGATAAATATAATCTATTTATGTGTCGATTTTTCAAAGCATTCTTTCAAAGCAAACTTTGTACATTTGTAGAAGGTACTTTGTTTGTCCTGTGTTTCTACTCCTAAATTCATTTTTTTGTATAAATCACATTTAATCAAGGGCTAGCACATTCAAATTTGAATAAAACATTTTTTGTAGAATTAAATTCATTTGTTTATTTTTTTAAATAATAAAAAATAAACTACTGTAAGTTCATTTATTACAAACAAGAAGAAGATAGTAAAATGACCCTACTTCTCACCTGAATTATTACCTCAGTAAACACTTTCCAGTCGCTAGTTATAAGTCTTTTTCAATACAGCATGATGTTCATTAATATTAAATAGTAACCATTTGTTGTGCAGCTTTCCAGGCTACAGGTTTTGAGCAGTTCACTATGAAATGTATTAAAGTAAGCGCTACTCCAAATTATGACAGCTTATTTGATTATCCAGTAACCACTGTTTTATAGCTTTGGAGAAGGAGTTGAGAGATGTAATGTATTGTGGGTGTAGTTCCAGGTATGTGCTGCCAAAAGGTACTTCTTCTATATGGTATTTTACAATCACCTCTGGCAGTGGCTCTGGTAGGTGTGTTAGGATATTGTTTAATGAATTCATTGAGTGTAGGGAGGTTCCAAACCATGGAATATTTTAAACACAAGTAAGATATTTGCAAATGCGATCATGTTTTTCAGGTTAAAAAATACTTTAATTTATTTAGAAAATGACGATATGAATATGACTTTTTATCCAATGTTTTCAAAGCCATTGTTTCTACTGAGTGTAATGTGGTCCTACCTGTCTGTGTCCAGCTGGTCAGACAATAGTTCATGGGTGAGAGGTTCATGGTGTTGATGTACAATTGTTGGTAAATTATTACTAATGTGTGTAATTAGGCAAATTAAATTAGATTCAGTTCGCAACTTTTTTAACTTGTGATTTGAAATTGAGTTGTGTGTCTATATAATGCCTAAATATTTAAATTTATGAACTACTGACAGTCTTCTTCTTGCTACAGTAACCTCTGGGCCTGGATGTCTATTTGCAGATTTTGAGAAGAACATACATGCATTTTTGTTGATACTGAGGTGTAAACTTGAGTTTGTAAACTAATTGAATATATTGACCATTGAAGCTGATAGTTCCTCTGCAGCTTGATTCTTGTTATTTGCATGTAAATATATAACCAGGTCATCAGCGTACATCTGACAATTTATAACAGGTGGACCAACTTCAGGTAGGTCCATACTTACAAGGTAATACTTTTTCAAAGTTGAACCTTGAAAAAGTATTATAATTATTTTTTGCCACTGAGAGGCTCAGACTGTTATACAAGGTGTACATCGTGAAACGGATCCCTGGAATGACTTCCGGTGACACCCTTTGTTTTTAAGAAATAGAAGTCTAGTTTAAGAACACTTCTCGCTCTGAAAACTGAAAAGTTGTGAGTTGAGGAAGATCCTCATAAGGATCCTTTTCATGATGCTGTCAGACACCTAGTATAACTGTCAGTGGTAATTTGACGGGCATAATTAGCCCAAAGCAATGTGTTGCAGCCACTGCAGCCAGTTCGCAACTGCCATCTACTGCTCGCATCTGGAACATTTCCTACCTACTAGTCAATTCAACCTCATTATATGTGAAAATAGGGTCCAGATTACAAATTAGATTACAAATACCAAAATTATCCTTTCAGAGCTTTATTGGGCTGAAGATATTATTTTGACCCAGATACGTTCTGTATCTTGAAGGAAAGGACCCAGCTGCAGTATGTGGAGAGCTGGATCACTGTCAGTGCTTTGGCTGCTTAGACAGCAGATAGTCTGTATCTGGGCCCTCATACCTCTCTCCGAGGTATTTGAGACGTTCTGACCTTTTGGTGGCCACTTAAAACTTTTAGACAAGGAGCTTATTGACTGTCAGCAATGATTTATATTAGACAAGACAGAGAGGGAGGAGGGAGGGGCTGAGAAAAGGGGATGGAGGAGCAACAAACATAAACTGTCAACACCCAGGATCTTTTCTTTTATGATAAAAATGCAATGGAGTGGAGGCAAGAAACCATTTGTATAGAGCACAGTAAAGCTGCATGTGTTACTTTGTATTCACTTGTGTTATTTAGCTTGACCATAAACCTTCTGTTCACCAGCACCATGTGACCAGTGTTTTCCTGTTGCCCTTGACTTGAAAAAGTCCACTCAAAAAGTGTTTAATGGTAGTGAATTTACTCATGGCATCAACCATGTTAAGATTTCAGATATATACTTTATTAACCCCGCAAG